TGTATATGAGTGAGTAGTAATAAATTCATTATATATGGATATATGGTTTTCATGCCCACCGCGTGAGTCCGAATTGGACGCATCCGCAATCCACAGAGAAAGCCACCTTGACGTCGTTCCTTATGACAAATTTTCTATGAATTTTGGGCATGGGTGGAACTGAAGGATTGGGCTTCGGTAAGGATTGGGCTTGTGTTTGGTTGACGGTGTTGTAAAGATGATGCGAGGCCTTAAATACTTATCATATCGGTTGCTTCCCAATGCGTTGCTATAGTGGGTGTTTCGGGGTTTGACGTGATTTTGAGGGTAGATGGGCTTTAAGCTGACCCTTCTAAACCAGTTCAAAAGAAAGACCAACTAACGGTGCTTTACCCGTTAGTTGAAAGAGTTTGGTTGAACCAGCCAGATACAGAAAGACCAAAAAAGAAAATCTTAAAACGCAACTTACATGTCATTTTCTATTTCCTTCAAATTTTCGGTTCTCCCTCCCAAACTCTCCTCTACCAAACCTAGTCTAGAAGCATCCCTTGGCGATCGATGATCTCACTAAACTTGGAAGCCACCGGCGGCAGCACAAAATCAACTTAGTGCATTCTCTGCCGCTGTTGTTGTTGTTCGTATCCTCATATTTTTGTTGTTCTAATCAATAGATCCTCATCTTTTTGTTGTTCCTATCAACAGATCCACACCATCATTGATCAAATTGGACCTGGATACTTGTAATTTGCACGGGCTTTCTGTACCAGATTTTTTAAGGTCACACTGAGCCAGGAGTAGGAAAGTGAAAATTCCCTTGGGCCGATCATTTGATCAATCAAGACTCTAGTGAAGCCCAATCTCATTAACTCGGGTCATGTAATTAATTTGCTCCAATTATAGAACTCAGCTAGAAAAGTCATACTTACTCCCAAGTGGGTGGTTGAAGGTTGAAGAGTCCATAGTCCATACTCTGTTAATTTCCATTATTGCTTAAATTCATTAAAACTTGAACTATAATCTACACACTGCTAGTGAAAGTTCATTACAAAAAGCCCTTTTATTAAACATGTAGCACCAATAAGGCAATAAGTCAGTCTGGCAGGATCAACACACAAAAAACTACCAAGGGGAATACACAAACTTGGGTCCCTGACGATCTACTGCGCTCTTCCGCCTTGTTCCTCATCGGTGCTAGTGGAGTTGCGAGCCAAACAATTGGCACAGATCTCTCATTGGATCCCTATCAACACACCCAGTTGACCCATTTTAAGCATGGCGTACACAAACTTCTTGAAGAACGGGGTCTGGTTTTGTGCAAAGATAGTAACACGATGGGTTGAGTCCTTGAATCAGTGGACAAATCCTAGTCGGAGCTGAACAGCCCCTGCTGCTTCATGAGGTCCACGTAGTAGTTGTTGTCGAACACATTTGAAATTTGGATGCCCAAATCGGTCATGGTTGTGGGACAAGTGAGCTTGAGTTGATTGGCGAAGAACTTGTCCATTGTGGAGTCTTGGCTGGGATACAAGCGATCGGTGAACGATGTGTAGTGGCCAATACCAATCGTGTGGCCGTCGCAGAGAGTGACAACATCGGTGGCCTTGAGGTTCTTGGTGGCCAATGAAGTTGGAGTGACGTTGGTATTGCTATAGGTAGCTAGAAGGTTAGCCACCGTTTCGTCCCTATAGCGAAGTTGAGTCCATTGCGCTTCTACTCTTTGATCCGTCGAGAAGAGAAGAGTACAAATAACATTAGAAGAAGGGGCTCGGGAGTTCCCTTTGTTCAGGTGAAAATTGGGAGGGGTAGTTCGAAATGAGTATGAAAATCGGGATTTTTACCTTTTTGTGTTTGGTTGAACCGGATACCATCAATTGACAGCCAAAATAATGTTAACGTTACCGAGTCTGCGCTCCATCAACATGGCAGATTCTGGTTGGTGGGTTCACACGTCTAGTAAACCTATGGGTGCATAGAACGCAGACTCATCGACGAACACGGAGAGCGGATTTGTCAATTTGGAGATGATGGGTTTCGGTATAACAAAGAGAACCAAAGATGCGAAGGTGACCATAGGATGATTGTTTCCCAAAGAGGAGTTCGTGAGGAGAAAGGCTGAAGCAATGGGGTGGGTGTGCCATTGATGAGATAAGTGGTGGTGAGAATGCATTCACCACAAAATTTCAAAGGGAGATTGAATTGAAAGCGTAAGGCACGGGCTTTGTTGAGGAGATGTCGATGTTTGCGTTCGATTACTCCGTTTTGTTGAATAGTGGCCACGCAATTTGGTGATGGATAACCCCATAAGAAGAAAGAAGATTGCATTGGTTGAGAGAAAAATTCATAACCATTGTCAGTGTGAATTTTCTTAATGCGAATGTGAAATTTTGTTTAGGCATAAATGAAGAAGTTCTGAATTAATAATCAAGTCTCAGATTTGAAACACATGAGAAATACCCACGTGAATCTAGTGAAATCATGTACAACAGTTAAAGAAAAAACGGGCACCCGAAGATGATGAGGGTATGGTGTAGGGCCCCATATGTGACAATGAATTAATTGGAAAGGTGAAGCATTAGAAATAGAAATAGTGGGAAATGGCAGTTGCGCGTGTCTGCTTGCTTAGTGAACATATGTGACATTCTTCAGCCGTGGTGGCTGGTGCAAGTTGGGATGAGGTCTCGAAATTTGTTCATGGAGAATGTGTCGGGATGGCCTTTACTACTTCGAGTATCAATATTTTCCTCATGGAATCCTAACCAGAAGTTTGGTATAATATAAGGGTCCGTTTGATTGGTAGTTGGAATTAGAATCAAAATGGTTTTATTCTCAGTATGTTTGATTCAAACAGGAATGTGAATGAGAATTAATATATATGATTTTCAGGAAAAAAGTAGAAAATGGCCATTTTTTTCATATAGGAGAATATCATTCCTGCAGGAATGAGAATGAGATTTCAATTCCACCCAACCAAACAATTGAAATGAAAATAACCAATTCTAATTCCAATTTTAAACCCCTACAAACCAAACGGGGCATAAAGTTTTCCGAGTATGTGAAGTAAGATAGGGAGAGATGCGAAAAAACAAAAAACAAAAAACCTATCTAATTAAAGTTTTGCAACCTCAGCAATGTGAAGTGTGGAGCTTAATTAATTATTAAGGGGTATAGTGAGATGAAAATATGAAAGGCAAAGGAAGATTGGAGAGGGTACGGTGAATCCTGACCAGACCACATCTCGATATTTACATCTCGTTTGTTCAATCGTCAATCTTCAGTGTCCTGGCCGGTTGATTAGTAATGGAGCGGGAGGAGTTAGGGGGAATGAGCAGAGTCATCCCTTGGAGTTGGAGGGAGTGAGGGACCAGACAGCCAAGCACCAACCCTTTTTCCATTGATTTCTATTCAGAAAGACAGAAATTATCATGTGATCGAGGAGCTAGACATACGCTGCCCTGTCAAGTGTCAACCCTAAACAGCTGCAACAGCCCACCAATAACAATAAAAGTAACGCGGTTTTTAAGACCCATCTGCTGCTTTCCAATTCTGACTACGTGGTTGGATACGGCTACTCCAATAACATTATGTACAATCATCAATGCATCTTATACCTGTTCATCATACAAATTAGTTTTCTTTTTCTTAGAGAAGGAAATATGAAATTATGAATTGAAGGAGAGTCAAGTGAGAAATCATTAAGGGGCACTAAGCATGCTTATGCAATTAGGTAGTAATGATGAAATAATTTGGGCTAATGATGTTTCCTTGTTGCAGCAGATGAAGTTACATTTACATTCCATGAGCAGAAATAAATGATTGGATATTGTTGTTGTATCCACTCAAACTTGTTGTTTTGTTTAGACTTTAGATAATAATGTAAAGATCCTCAGTGATCATGTATTCATGTGTTGTGTTTTCCTTTCTTCTTCTCTCTCCTGTTTTTTTAACAAATAGTCCCTTGTATCATTGCCTTTCATTTCACTTCATTAGATGTATGATGTATGCAATGATGGTCAACATGTGTTGATCGTCTCTTAATCTGGGGTCGTGGGCAGGAAAACTGAATAAGTTGATAATTTCCCAGCTACTGTGTGCAATGTGCATAACGGAAACGGACCCCTATCTCTTATGTTACGGTTTTTCTGCTTCTTGGGCTGTTTATTGTTATTGTTGTTCCTATTACCATCATTAATTGGAAATTAATAGAGAGAGAGAGAGAGTTGGAACTTGGAAGCAGCATCGTATCATGATTAGCGTGGAAATGGAGCTATGTTTTATCGTGCAATTTGTCTTGTCTTATTATTAATTAAGAGTAGCTTATTATCTTTATTCAGAACACATGACCCGCCAGTCGTCTTAATCGCCTCTGAATTACTCTCCTCTCCACTTGAATGATTTTCCCCATTTTATTTCAAATCTCAGACCTTCAATTCACAGCAAGTGGCTTTGTTTGATTACTGCCCTTGTCTAACATCATGACTGACATCCCCCCTGTCCCTTCACTAAAATAAAGACTCTTCCTCAGCCCAACTAATCTCTCTCTCTCTCTAATAAATAAATAAAGTCATACACAGAGCATTGGCTTATCTGATTGTCACCCGTTTGTCGTGAACTTATATTTTTTATTTTTCTCGTTTCTGGGGGATTCAGCAGCTCACTAATAGTGATGCTTCGCATGCGATGAAAATTGAAAATTGAAAGGAGGAGGCCGTCCCTTCAAATCAATATGAGCTTGGGATATTTTTATTTAATTAATCTTGTGGTGTCACCAAATCCAAATGGCCCCTTAAATTGAGCAGTATTGCTATTTTTATTTGTCATAATAAGCTCTCGTTCTAAACCTAAAAGCAAACTCCGGACTTCAGTCTTCTGATTACCGACTAAAATGAAAGGAGTCATGGATGGAACAGGGGAATGGTCAGGCTTTAAAATAGTGAAATCTACTGTAAGCTCGTCGTTACCTTTTTGATTTTTGAGCTCCTGTTTTTTTAGTTCTTGAATCACGGAACCCGATTTTTAAACTTTCTCTTTATCTTATCATGCCTTTTTCTTTAATAAAAAACATCGAAGCGATTCATATTCTTTACATATTAGTCCTATTATTTGGCATTTGGCAAGCTGTGCAGAGAGGGGTCGAAATTCTGTTAAACGACATCCCTTCTCTGTTCCTCTCTCTCTCTCTCTCTCTTCTTTGACGACTTTGATCTTTTTCTTTTCCGTGGGAGTGTGGAGACTGGAGACTGGAGACTGGAGATCTCTCCTTTTCGTTCAAACTCCACTTGTCCCACCTACTCCAATTAGGCCTCTAAGTCCTAGCTTCTCCCTCCCCCACTCCGACGTCCGACCCCTGCATTATTTTTCCTTTCTTACTGCTCTCTCTCACAGCAAAAGCCTCCAAACATTTCTTCCCTCCTTTCGTTTTTTTTTTTTCTCTGTTTAAAAGAAAAGGATGATTCAGTAAAAGTCGATATCGGTTGTTTCTTTCTTCAATATATTTTCAGATCACAGGGATCTTGCAGACTCCTAGAAAATTTTAGCTTTCTGTTCATCTAAAGAGCTGCATTTCTTACTTCACTTATCCGGGTGACTGATTTCACTAGTCAATAGATATTCCGGCTTCTCGCAGAAACCACCAATGCGGTTCTCGTGGGTTTAACTGCTTCCAACATTCTTGTATTATTTTTGTAGGGAATAGGGATATTTTCCGAAAGATGCATCTTTCTTGTTTAAGTTCCGGAATCTAAAGGAGCCTTTAGAAAGTTTGGATCTTTTACCCTCTTCCTTTTCCAAGAACATGGCGGCCGAGATTGAAAAGCCGGGCTCCAAAGGCCAGGCATGGTGAGTTTACGCGAATTCTGTTCTACTCTCTTTCTCATCTACTCTTCTCTGTAATCTGAGAGAAATTGGTTTTCTCATTTTTCAGGTTCTGTACCACGGGATTACCTAGCGATATTGTCATCGAAGTCGACGATATGACTTTCCACCTCCATAAGGTTCGCTGGTGCTCTCTTCAACTCTTCGTACTTTTTCTTTCATCCATTTTTTTTTCTGTGGATTAGTTTGTTCCTTTTGATCTCTTTTTCTATTTATGTTAATTAATGTATTCGTTCAGTTCCCTCTGATGGCGAAAAGCAGAAAGCTTCATCTGATGATAACCGAACAAGAAGCGAACCTTGCTAGAAGACGAGAAGAACTCGAACAAGAAGCAGACGAAGATGATGACGAAGGCGATATTGAGATTGAAGAAGAACCGTGCTACATATCTCTCCCGGATTTTCCGGGCGGTTCTGAGACTTTCGAGACCGCCGCTAAGTTCTGTTACGGCGTCAAGATCGACTTCACAGCTTGGAACGTGGCTCCTCTTCGCTGCGCCGGAGACCATCTCGAGATGACCGAGGACTTCTCAGAGCATAACCTTATCTCCAAGACCGAAAGGTTCCTCACTCACTCGGTTCTGAGGAACATAAAAGAATCACTGAAAACCTTAAAATCCTGTGAAGCATTGATACCTCTGGCGGAGGAGCTGAACATCCCCCAGAGATGCATCGATTCAATCGCAGCGAGGGCTTCTTCAACCGATCCATCGCTCTTCGGATGGCCGGTAAACGAGGGAGCCGGCACAGGCTCAGCTAGGTCTCAGATTTTATGGAACGGAATCGAGACGGGAACACGCAGAAGGAATGGAAGCAAGAGCACCACAGCCAGCAATGCCGAACCCTTGTCCGAGGATCTAGGCATTTTGAGCTTGCCGGTATTCAAGCAACTGGTTTCCACCATGAAATCGAGAGACCTAAGCTCGGATATCATGGAAAGCTGTCTGCTATCGTATGCTAAGAGATCGATTCCAGGTCTATCGCGTTCCAACAGGAAGCCACCCTCGGCAACCATAACTTCGGATGCGGAGCAGAGAGAGCTGTTGGAGACCGTAATTACGAATCTGCCCCAAGGGAGGAGCTGGAAGTCGCGGTCGGGATCATCTACAATGACGCGGTTGCTATTTGGATTGTTAAGGACGGCAAACATATTAAACGCTTCGGAAGCTTGTCGAGGAGCGTTGGAAAGGAAGATCGCGTCGCAGCTGGAACAGGCCACGTTGGATGATCTGTTGATCCCGAGCTACTCATATCTGATAGAGACGCTATACGACGTAGATTGTGTGGAGAGAATATTGGGGTATTTCTTGGAGGGGTTGGAGACTGGAATGGACGATGACGATGAAGTGGAGGGAGGGAAAACACCGGGAGTAAATCCGGTGATGTTGGTAGGGAAATTGATGGATGGGTACTTGTCGGAGATCGCATCCGACGCCAACCTGAAGCCGGAAAAGTTTTGGGAACTGGCTGTCGCACTTCCCGACCAAGCCAGGCTCTATGATGACGGCCTCTACAGAGCCATTGATGTTTATCTCAAGGTATTACTAACTATTCGGTGATCCATTCTCGATTTTATGGTGTTTTTACTATTTTTATTTAATTATGCCTTGCCTTTTGTTTAAACTGAAAATGCGCTAAAGCATTTTTTATTTTTTAGTCAAAAAAACAAGGGATAATGGGGAGGAGGAGGGTTCACGTCAAAATATATTTTGTTTTGGGTAAAAGCTTCTTTAAAATGACTCTGAGAATCTCCACGTCAAAGTATTCAAAATAGCTGCTACGTGGAGGACAAAATGTCTTCGTCCCATACTCCCATTATAATTCCAAAATTTCTTCCAGTTTGTCAAGGACAAAGATTGCGTGCGTTTTCTTTTGTTTGGTGCTCTATCCATATTTGAACCCCGTTTTTCTTTTTCTTTTTCTTTTTTTTTATAAAAATAAAAATCTGATTTTTATTTTATTATAATTACAGTAGTGTTGGTTGGGTTTAAGATTTTAATTTAGTTGCATGAATTTAAGAGGATGATATGAACGTGTAACCTCCATGGATAATGGATTGAGCATGGCCATGCCTACTTGCCTAGTAATTAATAATCATGAAATTGATGGTAGGCGCATCCATGGATAACGGAGGAAGAGCGAGAAAAGATATGTGGAGTGATGGATTGCCAGAAGTTGACGTTAGAGGCGTGCACCCACGCAGCACAGAACGAGCGCCTCCCCTTAAGGGCAGTGGTTCAGGTTCTGTTTTTCGAGCAGCTTCAGCTCCGCCATGCCATCACCGGCTCTCTCTTCACTGCTGACATTGTCCAGCCAGATTCCGCCCGACCATCTTTCTTACTGCAGCAGCAGAGACAACACGAAACAGGAGAGGAAGAAGGAGAAGGAGGACAGCAGCTACAACATTATGAAGAACGGCAACTGGCGTTGGTGCCATCGGGGGGGCAAGAGAGCGGTAGCAGCAGGACGTGGAGGGCAGCGGTTCGAGAGAACCAGGTGTTGAGGCTGGACATGGACAGCATGAGATCCCGGGTACATGAGCTGGAGAGGGAATGCTCCACCATGAAGAAGGCAATCGCGAGGATGGATAAGCTAGGGGGTTGGAGGAACTCGCTAACCAAGAAGTTAGGATGCAAGTTCAAGACGCAGGTGTGTGATTCGCATGAACGTACAGTGGTGGAAGCCAGGAAGCAGGGAAGACATCATCATCATCATCAACCAACGAGCTTCTTGTAGTCTAGTCTGTCTTATTATTATTATTCTGTAATCTCTGTACCACTACACTGTATTTATTTATTATCCCTATTCATTATCAATGAATTCAATTATATTTTTGGCTCTTTTATTTCAGTGGAGTGGTGATCGGAGATTCGTGCAAATCTTTTTCAACTTGTATATACCATATTTTACGCGCCTCGTCTGTGATTGTCGTTTGTGTATTCGACGCATGACGGGTGTGGATAGAGTGATGGGCATGTGGGATGTAGGTCCAAATTCCCAATGCATTGCGACTTTTGCCAGGAGTTCATCATCTTAACGTGCATTGAGAATATACACGATTATTAGGATATACTGTGGGACGTTTTGGGGACGCATTCTATGAGGTTAGATTTAATTTAAACTCCTTTGCTAGAGGATCGGGACTCGGGACTCGGGACTCGGGACTCGGGAGTGCCTTCCAATTTCTAATAACTTTTCATTATTGAATTGGCGGGAATTCAGGTCAGATTTTGAACGATGACCATGCGGGAACGCTCACGCTGGGAAAACCGTGTGAGCCCACGCTGTGATTTGTGACTTGTGAGTATATACTAATAACTTTCTTCCGTTTTTGCGCATGGATCCAAACTGCTTATTTGCTGGCATCTGGCAGTACTAATATTTTATTCATATTTGGATCAACTAGTGCTCTTCACAAGAAAACCCAAACCAACCAAACCGATCAAGCCAGATTCACCCAATTTGAATCGGCCGAGTTTTTTTCAGCACTGGTTGGTTTCGGGTTGTAAAAAAATTATAAACTAATGGTTCGGGTCAGTTTCGGTTTTCATATGTGAAAACCGAAATCGATCCGAACCAAACCGACTTAGTAGTTAGTAGTTAGTTCCTAATTAGTATTTACAATCTACTTAGTTCCTACTTAACTAAGTTGTCTCTATCCTAGTTACAACCTAACTTAATTTCTAGTCTTCTAATTAGGAATGACATTAATGCCAAATATTGTAAGACAATTAGACAAGGAATTTTTTTGAAAAAGTAAAAAAAAAAACGAATCAAAGGATCCTAGTTTTTATGGTCTTTTACACCAAATAGGCAACCAATTACAATTAGAATTAGATGTTTTTTTTTTACTTAGATTAGAAGGTTTCTTGAAATATACAAATTTCAGTCTTCTTTCTCTAATATAATTTGACTTTCTATTTTCTTGATAACTTCTATTCTAACTTGGTCCGCCCCCTACCAATTTCAGTCTTCTTTCTCTAATAGAATTTCAGTCGGTTTTGCATCAAATTTCAGTCTTCTATTTTAACTTAGATTAGAATTAGGTGTCATTTTTTACATCAAATTTCAGTCTTCTTTCTCCAATCTACCAATTTATTACCATGGTTGAACTTAGAGCCGAAACCGACCCAACCCGACTCAAATCGACTAGGTCGGTTTCGGTTTCAATTTCAGGTAACCCAGCCAGGTCAGGTCGGTTGAAAAAATCTCGGTAAACCAACCCAACCCGACCCGTGAACAGCCCTAGGATCAACTGCTTTACAGATCAAATCGGGTTATGGTAACATGTGCCTTTATTAACCCCATTTCTATCCGATTGCACAGTTAGGGGTGAGCAAATGGGTAGGTTCTACTCAAAATCGAATGTAATCAATTTTGAATCGACTTTAAATTGACCCCACCCAATCTGTTATAGGATAAGGTTTGGTTTCAAATTCTTGGAACTGACCCTCACCCAGGCTGGTTTTAGGGTCTAGGGGTTTACCCTACCCAAACCAACCTGATGAATTGGCCTTGTTTGGCCTTGGTGGAACCGATAATATTTTTAGAGATGTGAAAATTTGAACCCAAGCATTATATTCATGGTTACAAAGGCCATGGTCTCACTTGACCATTGGATTACTTAAGTGATTTGATCATTTGTTTTCATTTTAATATTTGATTATCTACAATAAATAGTGTAAAAGGTGATATTTATAAAATTTAAATTTAATTAATAAGTTTTTAACCATTTAATAATAGTTTATATATTAAGTTATCCAATTTAATTAATAAAGATAATATACGTTTTAAACTATATATTACATTTATTAATAGTGCAAGTTCCATGGGTAGAACCTGGAACCGACCCCAAAACCACCAAGGCCAAAACTAACCCTAAAACCAACCTTTATAGGATAAATTCCAGTTCCAAAAACCTGAAAATCTGAAACTAACCCCTATTGGATAGGTTCTAGGTTTAGCTTTAGAACCAAACCAAACCAGCCTATGCTCACCCCTAAATTCAGGTGTTACAGATTTGATACTTAATTACTCGTTTTTGTAACAAATTTCAGCACTTATGTGAATTATGTCAATTTTATATTAACCATATGTATTTGTGGATGATGCGATTCGAGTTAGACGTGGACGAATAGTAGATGAAAATCCTATTGCGATTCAACAACTTACAATGTGTTAGAGGCCCCGAGGTGATTTCTCGGAGAGGAATATTTGGCACTCAAATCAAAAAACAAACGAGGTGATGGGTTAGGCTGAACAAGTGAGAACAAGGTGGTCGTAGCTGAGAAGTAGAGTTCGATAAGTAAGCACGTGGAATAGAGAGTAAGAGTATGATTTTCAAATCATTATTGATCCAGATGGTTGGATTGTTCAGCCTTGGAATCGTTCAGGCAATTGATTCTGTTTCACATTTAACCTGTTTTTTTGTTAAAACAGTTGACTTAATCAATGACCTGTGTACCTAGAGATGAATCATGTGGACCCATTCGACCTATACAGCAGTTTTGGCCTTTTATTTTAATAATTAATTTTCTATTTTTTAAATTGAAATGAGTTGTCCATTCAAATTGGACGATCAAACCACTAGCCCAAAAACTAATGGCCACAAATTTCGGACCGGCCTGGCTCGGGCCCAGCACAATACACATATTTAAACTTACACATTTTGTGTATAATATATACATATGTATACATATTATTTTATATTATATTATATATTTTATATATAAATATTATGACATGACATGTATAATTTATATTATGTATAATATTTTATATTATATAATGTATAAAATAAGTTTATATGCATGTTATGTCAATTAATATATAGATATATAATGTTTTATATATGAGTGATATTGGCCCAGAATTAGACCTGGTCCAGCCTGAGCCCGAATAGACTTAGTTTAGGGTATATGTTTCAGACCCAAAACCCTGGATCCGAGCATTAACTATAACCCTTATCATAAGTACAAAGCCCAACCCGACCCATGATCACCCCTGATTATGTTCCTCACAAATAAGACACGTGGCCAACAGTCGAGCCCTTAGGGGAGTGAGCTACACTCCAAAGGACAAGGAGTTCGGGGGCCGTTGGTGCCGACCTTCACAGAGGCTGGGTTGTGTTGGTGTTCACCACATGTCCTTATCTCGTCTGATGTGTGTTGTTTGTCAACATTGGCCTTCAGGTTGAATGGGGCATGCCATAAGAGTGTGGTGTTGCTCATCCAAGGTTGGGTTATGTGTTGATTTTCAGTTCGACCAAATGTGCTTTTTCGGATTGATTCATGTGACAGTCCTATTTTCACCCTCATTAGTGGCATTGCACGTGAACATGAATTCATAAAAATAAAAAATTGATAAATTACTGAAACTTTTCCTAAACTTTATAATATAGTTGTAAGTAGACCTTTTTTTATAGAATTTTATAATAGGTAGGAAAATGTTTGAAATATACATACAGTTACTTTTGATCAAAATATTTATTTTTCAAAATGTTTATTCATATAAATCACTACCCCAGGTCTTTTTAATTTCTTTTTTGAAATTGATTTATTTTTTTAATTTTCTTTCTCAAATGTAAAACTATACTTTAATTATATTCTCTTTGACTTGCTTGTTCATAAAGTTTGAATATTTTGGACATTTCTATACCTCTTATTATAGGATTTTAACAAAGAGGATCTATTTGCAACTATATCAGAAAATTGAAAGAACGTAATGATTATAATTATCAAACTTGGGATAAGGTTTCAGCAATTTATCTTAAAAAAATCAAAATCGTTTATATATATAGGCTTGTATGTGAATGTGGATTCCATGGTACTACATATCTCAAACGGTAATCAGGGTTGATTTCTGTCACGAGCTGTTGACAGCCCTAATTACATGAGTTGAGATCTACTGCACCTTTTTTCCTGCACTGATCATGCACTTCCATTCAGTCTGCGACAGATCTTCCATATAAAAATATAATTCCATTCGGTTTGTTAAAAAAAAAAAAAAATCAAATTCTTAATAAAAGATTTAAAAAATCAGTACGACGTGTGTACTAGGGAAAAGATCAGTGAAAATGAAAAGTTCAGTATATTTTACATATAAATGTAATGTATGTATATATACTGTATTAAAAATATGCATTTTTACAAAAATAATATTATATTTTATGCTATAATATATTACAAAAAATCAAATCATTCTCATGTTTTAAAATTTTATATTTTCTATGAAGAGTTGTATTGCCCATGCATGTCTGAATAATTCGTTGGCTAAAATGTGTTTAGTAAAAATGAAAAAACTCACACTATTTACAGTACAACTTATCAAAAGTTTCATTGAAATGATATCACAGAGGGGGACAATCCAAGTTGTCGCCTAGGGTTTTATCCAACAGTGGTTGTCTTCTTTTGGGGATGTGTCTTTTTCAATTATTGACATATGCTTAATCCAAAGGTGACCCACACGGCACGGCTAGCTCTTTCTATTGTTTATATGCTAATTACTTGAATCAAAACATGACTCATTTGGTTGGTATTATATTTGGATGTTTCTTGTGCTTATTTACTGGCTTCTGTAAATTTATATTATTGTTTCTTCTCAAAATGGGTCTTATGTAAGCTTTATAATAACTAATAGTCATTTCTGAGATGAGTTTTTTTTTTTGGTTATCAGAGATCTTTAATTAGTTTTAAGTGATGAAGTAAATTGTGCTGTTACATTTTAGCTGACCTTTAAAAGTTTGAAGAGAGTCTATTCATTATAAATGGCATGGTTTTCAAAACCGGACCGGAAAAACTGGGAACTGGTCAGGTCTGTTTTTCCCAAAAACTA